TTCGGAACCTCTGTTGTGCCCGCTCCCTGACACTACTCATCTCCATCCCCATTACTCCCAGGATTTGGGAGGCTCCCCCTGCCAACATAAGATTGAAGATGCCTTGCCTGCACCAAACCACACTCACAGAGGCTCTGGAGTGGCCAAACCTGGGATAGAGGACGTAAAATTGCCCCCTGACAAGACAGCCTGAGCGGTTTCCCGTTGTCCATCCTTTTCAGAACTTTAAGGGTTTATTCATATAATCTAGGTCTTTGGTTACTGATGTCATTTCCCGCTTCGGTACGAAGCCAGCAGGCCTGGTGACTGCAGCCTTCAGGATAAAATCTTTTTATCTTTGAAGGCAAAAAGAAGAGTTTTCCTTCATCTCTGAAAGATTCAACGAAGGAACTGCCCCAGGCCCTCTCCTAGTGAACCCGTTGCCTCCGACGCCAAGCTTGAGTCTCTTGATGCGTCAGTAATGTGTTTCTTGTGCTGCTGTCGTTTCTGAGTCTCGGGGAACCTGTGATGTGGCTACAATGCCCACAGAGTGCGCGCCTCCAAAATTCAGGACAAGGTCGCGCTGAAACTTGTAGGACACTGATGATCTCCTGAACGGAGTTGGCACCAAGTATACTGCTGATGAATCAGAAAGGTCTTACATACTCCCTAACAAAGCAAACATGTAAGATAAGGCTTGGCAGGTATCCCACCGTAATGAAAAGGCAGGAGGATGCTTTGGAATCCATTACTGCTTCTTGCCAGAGATAAACAGGACTGTCAGGAAAGAGTGGCGCAAGACTTAAAAAAAAAAAAAAAAAGGCAGAAGTTATTTTGTTTCAGGTCTACAAGAACTATGCCAACACTATCCAACTGTTGGTGTCTTGGGTGTATGATCACCAAATAAATCTTCAGGTTAGAAATCCCTTAGATTTCTTGGTTTGATACACGTATCCTGTGGCCTGAATATAATCCCCACATGAATCAGCACTTGGTTTTGAACATTCTTCCTCAACAGTGCTAGAATCTTTCCCCCTTCTTCCCATCCTTGGGGTGATGTGCATAGTTCCTGCACTCCCTAACCTCTTAGAACCTCGGTTTCTAGGCTGAAGAGATGGCTCAGAGGTTAAGAGCTCTGACTGTTCTTCCAGAGGACTTGGGTTCAAGTCCCAGCACCTGCATGGCTGCTAACAACTTGTAACGCTTAAGACCTGACATACAAACATACAGGCAGGCAAAACACTAATTAATGCACATAAAATAAAAAATATATTTTACAAGATCCTGCTTCGTTAGTCACCATCAGCAAGGACCTAACTTTTATATACGCCCAAGAACACCTAGGTGATTGTAAAAACATAAACTCACTCTGGGAATCTCGCTAGCTCAGAGGGCGCGCACAAGACCTAGCCCACACAAGATCCTGAATTCCATCCCTATCCTGAAGCAAGGAGGAGGGGTTCAGTGGTGTCTAGACAGTTGTATGTGTATTATACTGTCCTTGAGGAACTGTTAAGATGGTAAACTTGGCAAACGATATCTAACTCAGGCTGACTACTGCTCTTGCTCCCAGAACAACCGGTTTTCTTCGCCTGCAGAGCTTTCTGCATTCCTGAACTAAACCTCTTCTCCCGCCTGAATCCCAAATCCCCACCCCACCCCAAGATTCTTGGCCCTGGCTAGCCAAACTCCTCTTCTCAGCCAGCTCAGTGGCGTCCTGTGAGAAAGCACCTCTGTGCTCCCTACCCTTGTATACCTGAGATCATGGCTGTGGCCTTTAGTTGTAAAAGTGAAAAGGAGCTTCCTCAGGAGGACACCAGGACGACAGGCATAAGCCAAGCCTGTCTCAGGGTGTAAGGTATAAGGTCACCCTACACCTAGCGTAGCACATGCAACACGTTTATTTACACACATTCATCCTACAGTTGAGCCATAAAATTCCAAAGGTCAGAGACCATGCCATATTTATGATAATATTTTTGTCTTTCCCGAAACTTAGGACAAGTGAGCATCCTCAATAGTGGTCAATAAATTATATAAGCAAACATACTAGTTTCCATTTGTCTCCCCCAGTTTGACTAAGCTCCTAGGGAAGCTATGTCTTAAAGAAGCAAAGAACAGAACCAGCTCCCAGGGGTGGCGCAGAGTGATAAAGGGTGGCTGTGCGGCCGCAGTTTGAGAAAAGAGGAGCAAAAATGCCTGTCTTGTTCAAGACACTCAGAGTAAACAGCAACAAAGTAACTTGCTCCAAAGTCTTCAGGGATTGTGTATTTCCCTAAAATTCCAGAAAAGGTAGACTGATGGAGGAGGGTTATCTGTTATTGTTACTTTCATTGGTTAATAAAGAAACTGCCTTGGCTTTTGATAGGACAAAAATAGCAGCTTAGATAGGTGGAGAAAACAGAACAGAATGCTGGGAGGAAGAAGGGAAGTGAGGCGGTCGCCATGACTCTCCTCTCTGAGACAGCTGCAGGTTAGAATCCTCCTGGTAAACCACCACCTCGTGGTGCTACACAGATTATTAGAAATGGGTTAGATCCATATGTAAGAGTTAGCTAATAAGAGGCTACAGATAATGGGCCAAGCAGTATTTAAAAGAATACAGTTTCCGTGTAATTATTTCGGTGTAAGCTAGCCAGGATCCGGGTGGGAACGCAGCCCGCCTTTCCGTTGCTCCTCACCACTACAGTAGACCATGGTAGCTGCCATCCTCAGCTGCCCGGAGCAGAATGTCTGCAAACACATAACTGAGCAGTCAAGAAAGCTATTTGTTTTGGAAATGACCTTCAGCTGAGAAAGGGCCTTTTATTCTTTTTCACAGCTTCGTGCCCTTCCCAGAAGCTATGGGCCAGGATAACATGAAAATCTAAAACATAGTTCTGTGGGACTGGAGACGTAGCTCTGTGGTATTAGCTGGTGCGTAGCGTGAATGGGGCTCTGGGTTCAGTTCCCCCTGACAAAAATAACTCCTTCAAAGCATCCCACAAATGATGGCCAGGCCATGCATGACAGAGCAACCCAGGTTACAGAGGGGTCTGCAGTATGGGTCTCCTTAGTAAAAGCTAAACGAACTGAGTCGGGGCTGGAGAGAGGGCTCGGCGGTTGAAAGAATTAATTGCTGCTGTACGGGACCCAGGTTCAGTTCCCACCGCCCACAAGGCTACATACAGCCACCCTTCATTCCAGTTCTAGGTACTTGCTTGACACCCTCTTCTGGCCCACAAGGGCACGAGAGGCATACATGCATGCACGCAGGCAAAGCACACAGACATGTAAACAACTCAATCTGAAAATAAACCGAGTAAACAAATTCCGATGCCTAAGACTCCGCTGGCCCTGATTCTTGTTAGCCTCCGCTAAGCCCCAGCTTGCCTCCACCTTAAGCTGCCTTTGTTCGCCTAGAATCTAGTTTTTATCCGGAATCCTGCAGGTTCGGTTTAATGAGAATCTCCACCCTCAACCTCTCACACTGGCCTGCCTTCCCTAAGAATCTTGTCAAGTAGGTTTAGCCAGAACCATCACGCGCCCCCAGAACTTCCTCTTAGTAATTATTTTTCAAGTCAGTGACACCACACCCCCACCCCAGTCTCAGTGCAGATCCCTGCCTATAAATACTCACTTGTCTTTGTGTTTGGGCTTAAACCAGATCTCTACTTTTCAAGATCCTAGTGGAGTCGCCCCTTAAATGAAATCTTCCATATTTAACAAGAATCAGAGCAGACCTCCCCTTAACAAGCAAACCATTATTTAATAGCGCAGCCACTGTGAGGACAGAGTCGGAGGAGAGAGGCAGATAAGGCAAGGCCTCACTGTGATCAGTTCTTCTACATGATAGGCCTTATATGGAGAACAGAACTTGATATAAGGGGAGCGAACACAAGAGCCCACCCAGCTTATCAAAGAGCATAGCTGGGAGCTCCAGCAAGCCCCGTTGCCCATCTTCCGTGCAACACCCAAATCTTGGATTCTAAAAGATATCTTTCAATATCATGACTCTCCTCTCTCATGTAAACTGTTGAGATCGGGTGCAGCTGAAGGACTGACCAAAGCCATGTGTGTTCCATGGAACCTGAACAGGCAAAGAGGAGTATCCATGCTTTGGAACATGGTAGTCATGATTTCATTTAGAAAAACTATAGATCCTTCTGGAAGCAACTTGGGAGGACTGGAGTAAAGAACTCGAGACTGAAGAGACCCAAGAGACTGTCTATTCTCTGCCACGGAACTGCCTAGCCAAGATAATAGCTCCTCTCACAGAAGCAAGATTCAAATCAGCGCTCGCTTGGTTCTTTCAGTTCACTGGATCAGTAAGTCACGAGAATGTGAATAACCCTGGCACTTGGGAAACATAACTACACTGAAGGAACAGAATGTCCAGGCTGCTTTAAAAACAAAAACAAAAAAAAAATTTGACCACCCGTGGACACAAGAAGGCATTTCCGTGAGACAAAGCGAACGCAAAAGAGACAAGCAGAGAGCAGGGCAGGGTGTCGCTGGAGAACTCCAACAACTGTGTGCCTTCCATCTCACTGAGATTGGGCCTC